GACTGCTAATTGTTCCCCGTCTTTTATTCTCCAAGTCTTTGTTTTAGAAGTAGAAATGTATGAGGGGACACGACTGCCCGTTTGTCTGGAGACCTGTTCTCCTCTCCTTGCAGCTCAGTGTGGCCATGTGACTAACAGTCATCACTTGAACGTGAATGAAAGCTGTTGTGTAACTATGTGCACTTCCTTACAAGAACATCGCTTGCCTTCCTCTTCCTCTCCCACAGGCTGTCCTGAGAATGTAAACCAGCTCAGCTAGCTTCCACCACGCAGATGAAGCTGCAATCAAGGAACTGGCTGAACACAAAGACAGAGGAAACTGGATCCCTAGGTCAGCCTGTGCAGAGTGCCTACCCTCCCTAGACTCCATGCCTCCCTGGTCACTTCTCTCTCATTCACGTCAGAGCGATGTTTGGTCTTTTTATTGCAGCAGATGCATATTATCTTAATAAATTTAGAGAAAGAGAATAGACATTAAATTCAAATCTACACTGCGTGGAAGTACCTTGCAAGTTACTATGCCAGGCTCTATAAAGATGCTGAATTAACTATTTACAATAGCTAAGATCTGGAAACAGCCCAAATGTCCATCAGTAGACGAATGGATAAAAAAGCAGTGGTACATATACACAATGGAGTACTATGCAGCTGTAAGAAAGAAAGATCTTTTATCCTTTGAGATGACATGGAGGGACCTGGAAAGTATTATCCTAAGTGAAACAAGCCAAACAAAGAAAGACAAGTATCATATGATCTCACTTCTTTGTGGAATATAGTGAACATAACAGTCTGAGGAATGGGGTAGTCCCAGAGACATGGAAGTGGGGTACAGACTAACACTCCCCAGAAGAGGGGGTTGGAGGAGAGATAAACCACAGAACTTATATGCATGTATGCATGAACAATGGACATGGACAAACAAAGCTGGGGACAGGGCGGGGAGGGGGTATCAGTGGGGGGAAAAGGAGAAACATCTGTAACAAAAATAAATTAATTCATTAATAAAAAAATAATAAATAATAATAAAAAAGATGCTGAATTAATTAGGTGCAAGTTCTACCCTCAGAGACTTTACAATCCAGAGAAGATGAGCTAAGTACCCAGACAATTACATTCCCATAGTCTACATTGCTTTTATCTGAGAATTATGAATGAGATGTTATGGGGCAATAGTAGGAGATAGTTCTATCAACTTGCACCAGTAAATCTTGAATCAGGAAAATCTTCATGAAGATGGACTTTGAGAAAAATCTGCAATGAACTGATTTCAAAAGCAGAGATAAACAATGACAAGAAAGGAAACCAGTATGAACAAAAGCATGTCAGCTGAAAGTGCACACGTGCTCCTGTGTCCTGTTGGACTAGAGGGCAAGGTTGAAAGACCTTGGAATATGTGCACTGGAAGAAGTCTAGGTCATATCATGAAGAGCACTGAATTATAGATATAAAATGTGTACTGAGATCTTTCTGTATGCAAACGTGCTAAATGCTTTATACACACTTTCTCAATGTATCCTCAGAACAAACTCTAGTATTTTATATATCCCCTCGAGGGTGAGGGATCTATACTTAATTCAGCATGAAGCAGAAATTCTGAAGAACGATGAGAAAGTGATGACCCCTGTAACTGGGCTTCAGGACGACTAATCACCATGTAGGAGAGTGCAGGACGGGGTGCAAAGGGAACAGTGAGAATATTTTTGTAATAGACAAGGCAAGAGATGGGACTTGCATTAGTGTGGCGGCATGAGACTGGACTCAAGATATCATAAAGAGCTTGGCAAGTAATTATGGGATTGTGTGAAGAGCACTATAAAAAGAAAAAGTGGGAGGATAACCCTAACATTGAGAACCTGAGCCCTGAAATTAACAAAAGAAGGAGTCATGTGTTGTGTTTAACAAAAAATAGGTTAACAAGGTGTGCTGGGCTTTCGGAGATGTTGATGAAGTCCACACGGAGAACATCTGCTCTCTCAGTACCGTGACTGACTTTGTGATTTTGCAAAATTGGGTTCATATTTCTAAACCTGTTTTGTTCTCTGAAAAATAATATCCAACTCATAGACTTTATTTGAGGGTTAAAGATGAGAGTGTTTTTTAAAGGACAGAAAAATCACCTATACTGTATAACACACAGTAGGCACTCACTATATAGGTATCTACAGATATAGATATATAGATATATAAATTGAAGATGTGAGAGTTTATAAAATCATCAAAGAAAAGGAAAGGTTCTGAGGCAAGAACCTCAGGAAATATCTTCTTTCTAGTGCACAGCAGGAGAGAGAAGAGCCAGTGATGGAAACAGGGGGAAATATTAGTGAGGCAAGAAGAAATGAAAGACGAGTAAGAAGAAAATTCAAAGAGAGGATGGTTCACATGGCAAATGATGCCTAGAGAACAAGAAGAGTTCAGATCTGAGAAAAACAGTATCCCTTCTAGTGACACGGTCAAGCACATGGAGCGTGTCGGGAGACGGAGATCTAAATGTATTCATCAACATATGGGAAAGAGTTGGGAGAAAGATCGAATTTGCAAAAGAAAAAGAAAAACCGAAGGAATAAAACCTCAGAGGGGAAAAAAACAGTTTCGATCAAGGGCGCAGGTGGAAAAATCAGCCTCTGTCAGGAGGAGGAGGGAAATAAGAGAGAGGAGAGAAAGGTGAAGGTGCGGAAGGCAGCTCTGCATGATGAGAGAGCTCAGCACGCTGGCTTCTTAGCCAAGTAATATGCTAAGGCATCTCCTGCGAGGGCCTGAAATGCGTAAGTTAAAGACCCGGAGAAATGTGCACAGTTTCTTTTTCTTTCACAGGCAAAGGGCATTTATCCAGCAAAGGACACGATTTCTTCATGTTTCTACTTTAATGATACGTTACAGGTCCATAGTTCTCCTCAACGCCTTCATGGTTCTGCTATTTGGAGAAAGTTTTCAGAGAAAATAATCTCGAATGACTGAAATGAGTCACCCCCACAGTCATTTCCACTCCTTAATCTCAACTCTAAGTGTAAGAGGAAAAAATGGTCATAGTGGGGCCTGGGCAAGCAAACTGCACGCGCCCTTCTGAAACATTTCCTTCCCACAAAATGATTTCGGTGCAATTTTCATAGCTCTCTTCCCCACTGTACTGGATGGAGTGATGTCCCCTAAAACTGCCTATCTACCCGCAACTTCAGATTGTGTCCTTGTTTAGATCTTTGCAGATATACCAACTTAACATGGGTGGACTCTAACCCAATGTGACCAGTTTCCTTACAAGAAGAGAGAAATTTGGACACAGACACACGTGTAAGGAAGACATGTGAGGGCAGAGGCAGATGATAAAGTTGTGAGACCACAAGGCAAGGCAGGCCTGGAGCACTCAGAAGCTGGAAGACTCCGGGGAGAATCTTCCCCTACAGGTTTCTCAGGGAGCAGAGCCCTGCAAACATCTTGATGTTGGACTCCTGGCCTCCAGAACTCAGGGAATCCGTTCCTGTTGTTTACGGCACCTCGTTTTCTGTCTTGTTGTGGCAGCCCTGGGAAACATCCATGCCTGGGGTGCAGGGTGGGGGGGCCTAGGACTTGTGAGTAATGGGTGCTTCCTATATTAGGCCTCATAAGGATCACCCTAAGGTCAAAAGAACCATTTCCTACCAGAACTTAGCTTTGTTGAGCCTGCGTCCCTCTTCAAAAACATCAGGAATAGATTTCTTAAACTAGCATTGTAAACAGACTAATGATTTATCTGAACGCTCTGAAAAATAATGGGGAGTACACATGCAACAAAGACATTTTAAGATCCATTGTATTGAGACTTGCCCAGCCTGGCTGGTGTGGCTCAGTGGTTGAGCATCGACCCATGCACCAGGAGGTCACCGGTTTGATTCCTGGTCAGGGCACATGCCCAGGTTGTAGGCCCGATCCCCAGTGGGGGGCATGCAGGAGGCGGCCAATCAATGTTTCAATGTTCTCTCGTTGATGTTTCTCTCTCTCTCTCTCTCTCTCTCTCTCTCTCTCTCTCTCTCTCTCTCTCTCTCTCTGTAAAACCAATAAAGAAAGAAAATTAAAAAGAACTGCCCAAGCACCATTAGTCCTGAGGTTCTACAGTAGAGGTCAGTCAAATGAAAATGAGAACTAATCATTCAGAATAAACTGCCAGTAGAAAAATAATAATAATAATAAGGCCCTAATACATATCTCTTTGAAAGGAAAAATTTCCAGTTAGAACCCTGAGCCTGGAGCAACTACAGGGATGAAAGCAAAGTGTAAGGACTCCACCTGCAACTCCTTGCTGGCACTCGGAAGGAATGGCAGGGGCACAAACGGCCAGAGGGAGCAGAAAGGACAAAGGCCCAGGAGGTTTGAAGACTGTGCTGCTGATTCTCACCACACAGAAACAACCTGACTCTACGCTTTGAGCCTGTAAGATCACAGGAGGAGCGAAATCAACATTTAGAGATCAAGGTCCGGGATTGCATACAATTACTCTGTTGAGGTGGTGAAAAGATACTACAAAGAGCCATAGAACAGCAAAAGAACAACTTTAGACCTAAGCTGCTGCTTTTTCTTGAAACAATAAAATCAGTAGGAGACAAAGGGAGAAAAGCATTCCTTTTTTTATTTAGTGATCTCTTGGGAAATATACTGTGTTTATATGTGCAAAATAAAAAAAGTATATATAAGGGAGTAAAGAGGGGCACAATAAGAAGTTATGACAATATTATTTGTAAAGAATATCACAATTTTATTTGAAAATGAACTGGAATCATTGTAGACTTCTAAAGATGTGAGTAGCAAGATCAAAATGACTCTTCAGAAAGATACTTCTTACTGCTCTCTGTGAGCAGGGTAGTTTAGAGAACTGAGAAGATGAAAAGAATTTGAACATGAGGCAATTGAGCACCCAGATGGGTTATGTACATAAAGGACCCCAGAATTCAAACTGGATAGATAAGACAGACCTGCATTTTGATCTACATTCCTTCCATAAATTATTGAACCAAAACCTCCAATATGTCATTCTCCCGTCCTCAAGTACACATTCCATGAGTACTTTGCCCACAATCCATTGATCCCAACATGCTTTTCATTGTCCCTTGTCTCCATCAAGTCCTCACTTCCTCACCTACACAAATGAAATAACACAGTTGATCATTATAACCACTCATTTCCACAAAACTCGCAACCCACTACTTCTCTCTCCTTCCTTTAGATTCACTTGGCTAACTCCCAGTGGTCGTTAAGCCCAGCCCCCCACCTTTGCACCTGGACAACTGAATGGAGCTGAAAAAAAACACAACCATGCTTACCTGTCTTCCTTCTATTCCATAATCCCTAACTTCAAGGGAACCCTTCTCCAGCAATCATTCTCTTCATAGTCCATTCAATCTTCATCTCAGATAATGATTCCATGCCCTCAAACCTCCCACACCATCACCCCTCTGCTGATGATCTGGCTTCCTATTTCTCTGAAAAGACAGATGAGATCACATGAGAAATTTTCCTACCTCCCATCACCATATCTGCTTTTGTATCAGCTTTTCTTCTTGATGCTTGACGTGAACAATCCATGCTCTTCTCAAAGCCCAACCCTTACTCTTGTGTCTGGGTTTGACCACTTCGTACCTACTCAAAGATGTCACTCTAACATTTATCCTTCCGCTTTTCTATGATCATTTCTTTCTGTCTCCCAGATTATTATTATCATTAGCGAGCAAATAATTTATAATCTCTTTAAAAAAAAAAAAAAAAAAAAAAACCTGCCTTGTTTCCACATCCTTCTTCCATTATTGCATCATTTCTCTATTCCAGGCTGTTCAGTAACTTAATTTTATGTCCTGAACTTCATTCTCTCTTTTACCCACTTCACACAGACTTTGGTCTGTCCCACTTAATAGAAACTGTTGAAATCAGGTCACCAATTGCCACTCGTTGTTATATGCAGTGATGGATTCTCAGTCTTTAGCTTACCTGTCATCAGCTTTTAACAACTAATCTCTTCCACTTTGACATTTTCTTCATAAGGTTTCCAGGATGCCAGTTCCCCTTGGTTCTCCTCCTACTTGCCTGGTGGTCCCTTTTACTTTACTTCTCATCTACCCCAGCCTGTAAATACAGTAGTGACTCAGGGCTCAGTCCTCAGACCTTTCTCCTCTTCTATCTACATTCTTTCAAAGGTGATACAATCTAGCCTTATGGACTTAAAAATCATCTATACATGCATGACGTCCACATACATCTGCTTCACTGAGACCTTTCCTCTGGGCTCCAAGCCCACATGTCCTACTTTCATTGTTACATGTCTGTAATGAGCTTAACAATATGTGGGTATGGAATATTTACATTTTGAGTACATGTATAACTGTCTAAAACTAACATCCTAAAAGTAACATGACCAAAGAAGTCATTCATCAAGAGGATATAACAATTGTCTTTTCAACCAAGGGTATTGAAAACAATTGAATATTCACATGCAAAAGAGTGAAAGTGGACCCTTATTTCACACAACACACAAAAATTAACTCAAAATAGGTAGAAGACTGAAATGTAGTACCTGAGACCACAAAACTCCTGGAATAAAACAGGAGGAAAGCCCCTCGACATTGGTCTTGGCAATATTTTTTTGGATATGACATCGAAAACAAACCACAAAAGCAAAAACCAACAAGTGGAACTACATCAACAATCAGAGTTGTTCCACATGCTATCTATCTTTAGATGTTGTTGGGGAAGGGGAGGTGAAAATGATTAATACTGAAACCCAAGCTGCTGTATTTTTTTTTTTACCAATATAACTCTGAAATTTTCTGAAACTATGTTTCTTCCTGGTATTCCTCTATCTTCATTACATTGCAATATATAGAGATTACTCAGTGAAGAAAAGTGGAAGTGATTAAAAATTGTGAATCAAAACTGTCTTTAAAATGCTTACTAATCTAATACACAAACAATTCTTGATTTGCTTAGTGATCACAAAAAATTTCAACTTTTTCCTTTAACACTTGACTCAAAAACTGTTTCCCTCAAAATGTTGCCCCAAGAAATATACAAGACAGAGATATTTGTGAAAAGGTGTTTAATCGCCCTAGCAATTTGAAAAATCCAAATAAGGACTTCCGGTCAGGATAGCGGGTAGGTAAGCGCTATCGTGTCCTCCCACAACCACATCAAAGTTACAACTAAACTGCAGAACAACCATCATTCAAAACCGCCTGAAATCAGGCTGAATGCAGTCCTACAACTACGGAATTAAAGCAGCAGCCACACCGAGACTGGTAGGAGGGCAGAGGGGACAGGCTGGTCCCACACCCACGTGTGGGGATAAAAATCAGGGGACACCTCGGCTGGGAAGGTCCTCACTGAGGACTGAGGGGTCCCCATCCCACACCAGGTGCCCCACTCAGGGTTCCAGTGCCAGGAAGAGATTCCCCATCACTTCTGGCTGGAAAACCAGCGGGAACTGAGGCTCAGGGAGGCTGAAGTGGCTGGAGCCCCAGGCAGCTCCTTAAAGGGCCCGCGCACGGACTTATCGGACTCTCTCCCTCTAAGCTTGGAGGGGAGGCAGCTCGAGGGGCACCAGAGACACACAGGGAAGAACTGAGCTGGTTGGAACTGGAGCGAGGGCTGGAGAGGGGGCTTTCTCCGGGACACACATGCTGTCAGAGGCCTTTGTTCCTTTGGTGAGCGGCAGACAGTCACCATACCTGGGCCTCCAGCAACCTGGCTCACACTGGTAGCCCCGCCCTGGTGACTCCCTGAGGCCCCGCCCCACCCAACTTTCAGGCCCACCCAAGCTGTTGCCACTTGCTTAACCATAGGATTGGCCTGTCTTGGATCCTGCTTCAGGTTTTTCCTAAATTCTTTCAAACGAGCAGCATCTGGTCTCAGCTAGCCCCATACCTCTCGTTAAGTAATACACAGAAACAAACATAGGGAGGCAGCCAAAATGAGGAGACAAAGAAACAGGTCCCAAATGAAAGAACAGAACAAAATCCCAATAAAAGAACTAAACGAAATGGAGATAAGCAACCTAACAGATGCTGAGTTCAAAATACTGCTTATAAGGATGCTCAATGAACTCAGTGAGAACCTTAGTGAACTTAGTGAGGGCCTCAAGAGCATAAAAGAGGACCAGTCAGAAATGATGGATGCACAGTCAGAATTGAAAGAGGCATTAACTGAAATAAAGAATAATTTACACAGCTTCAATAATAGAGTAAGTAAATCCAAGAAGCAAACCATCGATTTGGAATATAAGAAAGCACAAAACACCCAATCAGAACAGCAAAAAGAAAAAAGAATCCAAAAAAAATGAGGATAGTGTAAGGAGCCTCTGGGACAACTTCAAGCATGCCAACATTCACATCTTGGGGGTTCCAGAAGGAGAAGAGCAAGAACAAGAAATCGAAAACCTGTTTGAAACAATAATGGCAGAAAACTTCCCTATTGGTGAAGGAAACAGACATACAAGTCCAGGAAGCACAAAGAGTCCCAAACAAGATGAACCCCAAGAGGCCCACACCAAGACACATCATCATCAAAATGCAAAAGGTTCAAGACAAAGAGAGAATCTTAAAAGCAGCAAGAGAAAGGCAGCTAGTTACCTACAAGGGAGTTCCCATAAGGCTGTCAGCTGATTTCTCAAAAGAAACTTTGCAGGCCAGAAGGGAGTGGCAAGAAATATTCAGAGTGATGGAAAGCAAGAACCTACAACCAAGATTACTCTATCCTGCAAAGCTGTCATTTAGAATCGATGGCCATATGAAGACTTTTCCAGACAAGAAAAAGTTAAAGGAGTTCATCACCACCAAACCGTTATTGTTTGAAATGATGAAGGGTCTTTTTGAAGAAAAAGATAAAATATATGAACAAACAAAATGGCAATGAATACATATCTATCGACAATGGAATCTACAAACAAAATGAACAGGTAGAACAGAAACATTCTCAGATACAGAGAACATTTTGTTGGTTGTCAGATGGGAGGGGTGTTGGGGGAATGGATGAAAAAGGTGAAGGGATTAAGAAGTACAAATTCATTGCTAGACTGACAAACCTCAAAGGGAAAGGGGTTGAGGGGGTGGGAATAAATAAACCGAAGAAATTATATGCATAACCAATGGACACAGACAATAGTGTGGGAAAAGGCGGGAGGGGGGCGGGAGTGGGGAGGAGGGGATCAATGGGGGAAAATGTGGAACATCTGTAATACATTCTACATTCAACAATAAAGATTTAAAAAAATAAAAAGAAAAGAAAAATCCAAATAAAAGCAATTCACTATTTTGGACATCACATGAACAACATGTTTACAAACAACGATTTCTAACATTAGCAAGGTCATATGGGAGTATAAATTGGAGCACTGTTTCCACGTAGAGATTGATTAAATAAATAGATAAGTAAATAAATATTAAAGGCATTAGAAAGGGCTTTTGACTCATCAATTCCAATTACTCAATTTATCCTAACAAATAAAGATGCACATAATGATTTAGCACCATTGTTTATCATCTTGAATGTTAGAAACTATTGAAAATTTCAACAATATGGCTTAAACAGGCAGAGTTTCTCTCTACAAAAACGTACCACAAATGTTTTAGAATGTGCAATGACATGGAAAGATGTCCCTAGTCTATTGTTAAGTGAAAAAACAAACAAACAGTTATTGAACAGTACCGATAATGTATAGTTTGAATCAGAGAAAGAGAGCAAGAAAAACTACAGGCAAAATGGATCTCTCCCATGGGCTATGATGTTTTCCCCCTCTTTTTTGCTTATGTTTCCTAAACTTTCAACAATGATAAATGGTTTCGTAAAAAGAGTAATATTTACTCTTTAATCTACTTTCCACTTTTAAAAACTCACTGACTTCTACACATTTATAAATACCATTTGCAATGCTTTAGCTGATACATATCCTTACAAATATGTTCTTTTCACATATACGTGTTTTCTTCACTCATCAATTCTCATGTCAACTTGTAAGTTCCAAAATGTCAAGGACAATAGCCTCCAATTCTTTAAACTTCCTGATGCCTAATAAAGTCATATATACAAAAATTATATGTATTAATATTTATTGAATGCATGAATCAGAAATATGGAATGGAAAGAGGTCTTAAAACTAAAAGTAGATAAAGGCATGTTTGAATTGCTGTTGTCTGTATTCTAAATATGTTTGATTAATATTTCTCAAATCAAACCCACAAATACTGCCCCTGCTTTAGAGCTATTACTCTTTGAGACTATCTCAGCCTCAATGTCTGAGTTCAAACCTTGCTCAAAAAAGCATCCCCAGAGCTCTGAGTCCCGCCCACTTGGTTGGGTGGCCTGCCTGCCTCCTTTATCATTACTGGGAATCATGGCTCAATGCACCTAATGCATTTCTCGGTGTGTGTGTTATACATGTGCTAAATGAAATATGTACATTGCAGCATTGTTTATAATAGCAAAAAAATGGCAATAACTTAAATGTTTCTTAATAGATGTATGACTAAATAGATTAGACTCCGTGCATATGGTAGAATATGTGCCACCTTTAAAAAGAGTAAGTCAACTTTTTATTTATACTGTTAAGGAACTGACCTTGTAAACAAAGAAAACTATAGAATTACATATATGTATAAGAAGATAGCCTGTGTTTATGTGTGTGTGTGTGTGTGTGTGTGTGTGTGTGTGTTTGTGTGTGTATATATATATATATATTAGTTATTAAAGAATCATATATATCTATCTGGAAAGGAAAACTAGGTGACCAGGGGACAGTATGAAAAAAATATTTCTTTTCCAAAATAAATTCTTTTGTACCTTTTGAATTTTTGAATCCAGTGCATGGATTTCCTTTTTAATCATGCATACATTCCTTTTTAATAAACACATGATCTTGGATCATATCTTCTTTATTAAGTGGACTTCTTAATCACATACATGGAAAGCAAGTGGGTACCCCAAAACTTGAAGGAAGGGTGCAGCATTACAGTTATATAACCAGAAGGAAGCCACTCTTACTAATACAACTTGATGTGCAAAGCTGTTTTCTATGGAGGAAGTGTAAGCAAAATTGCACAGAAGTTAAAGATTAAAGAGC